GAACTTCACTTTAGTCCTGGCAGCTCTGCTTGTTCCTGGAACTAGTTTTTCGGTAGTTACCCAACTCTGAACTCTTGGCATGATTACCTCAGCAGCGGGCCGGCCGGCCGCCGCTTCTGGCCATAAAAAATGGAAATTGCATCAAACAAAACGAATTGCATGTTCCACGTAAATGTGACAAAGGCTTGCAGAGTATAAAGTCAAAATATAGAACCCAGAACTGAGGACACTTCTCAGATGTGCCCATTGACCTTGCAGCTTCATTTTTTTCTAATCGATTCAATTTAACTGACTTTTGCCCGTTCGTTCGTTCGTTTTTTTTCTTCTCCGTCATCTTCTGTCCCGCTCGCACACCATCATAATAATAAAAAATTGAAGAAATTCTTTAGACAAATTTCGCGAATTTCCACAGCAAATGGGTAATTTTCCCAAGTAATTAGTTAGCCCGAAAGGAAAGAGCGACAAAAAACTGCAAAATAAGGACAAACGGTGCGACATTGTGACTTTTAATCCGGTTTAATCCCCCGGCTTAAGTTTTTTGCATGCACCACACTCACACACGCACACATTCACCCACACACACACGATCACAACAACAAAAAATAGCTGAAATAGCGGTTCGAGTTTTTGTGTTCTGGAACTCGCGAATCGTTGTTTGTCGAGTTGAGCGCGTAGCGCGGCGCGTCGACGGGCTGGCTCATCATAATTATGATCCTAGGATAATCGGCAGCTTAGGTATGCTGATCCTGCGATTAGGTAACAGAATCGCGTGCTTAGGTAGCCGCAAGAATTGCCCTAAAAAAATAGCTAGACAGTTAGCCCGAGTCCGAGCCCGAGAGAGAGCCATAAAGTCAGCGGAACCATAAAAAGTCGAGCAGGTCGACTAACCCGAGCCACACTCGAGCTCACACTTTCCGCTTAAGTGGAAAAGGGATGACTGACTCCTTGCCCGAACTGCATATGGCTTGCACTTTTTACCGTTCTATTGCCAGTCTTTTTCCATCATAATTTATTTTTTGCAGCAACTCGAAATTACCGTTAAGCATACGTTCTGGTAGCGTCCATAAAAAAGTCAATTGCCCTAGAGAGTTGCGTAAAAAATGCGTTTGGAATTCGCTAGAAATAAATCAAGGACACGCTCGCACTCAGCCCTCAGCGAGCAAATAAATATATATAGCTTCTAGTGCTAAAAAACTGCTAAAAAAAACAGCAATTTGCGTTGACTTTTTGACTTTACGGTTACAAAAAAGTCAACTTTTTAATTGGCCATAAAAAAATGTAAAAAAGCGAGTGCGAGAGAATATCGGAAATGGCTAGCAGGCAGCTACTAAAGTCGATTATTGGCCAAACATTGGGCCCACTGCCGTAACACTAACTGAGATCGACGATCGACGATCTCACTGATCGCACGTTACCTGAGCTGAACAAAAAGTCAAAAAGTCAACCCGTTCGCATTTACATAGTTTGATTGCATCATTTGGCCAAATGGCCATATAACAACAGCACATATCAATCAACACACTTTGTATCTGTATCTACAACTGTATCTGTATCTGTA